CATGATACACTCAGTGGGAGGAGGTCCAAACTGTCTCTTTGCAGCTCTATTTCCATGGTCTTTTGCATAACTGATTACACTCAGTTTGAATTTTGCAGAGCAAGACATTCGCTTATTTATTTTTTTATTTTCCAACATCTTTATGGGCTCAGAATGCTCTGACATTACCGGTCCCTGTCTCATCTGCACACTGCCTACACGCTTTCCACCTCCAACGGGATGTGTTCCAATTGGTTTGTTCAGCATCAGCTGACGTCAGTTACATAAGGCTCATGATTGGAGGAAGCCTGTTTGCAGAGACAAAGTATGGGCAGTTTCGTAACCGTGCAGTTCTCTCCTTGGCTTACTTCCTTGCATAAGACATCCTTCAATTTTTAGTGTAACGATTTTAGAAAAAAGTATCGTCTTATAGACGGAAAAATATGCATAAGACATCCTTCAATTTTTAGTGTAACGATTTTAGAAAAAAGTATCGTCTTATAGACGGAAAAATATGCATAAGACATCCTTCAATTTTTAGTGTAACGATTTTAGAAAAAAGTATCGTCTTATAGACGGAAAAATATGGTATATAACATCTTACATTTCTAAGCTTTCTACTACTATGGTTTTTTACAACCCTACAGTCAGGTATATATTGCATTGTGCATATATTATAAATAGAATTTGTCACTATCTAAAAAACAACCCAATGTTGTGAAGACACTTAGCAAAAGTTTTTTTTTCCTGGTAAGTAGATTCTTTTTTGTTGACAATTTCATGAAAAGGAGATATTTTTAATTTATTCAGTGCAACTTCCAAAAACTGCAGTCAGTGATAGTTTCCTTTCAGTTTCATGAAATTGAGATTTCTGCCTTTTTATGATCTCTAGATATCCATCAGGCAGAGAACATAAAAAGATATAGAGGTTTTTAAAACTTTTCCAATAGTTTTAATACTTTTTATTTTACCTAATAAAGATTTTCCTTGAATATGAATTTTATAATAGTTCCACCATTTTTTAAACTTTCTTCTATAAATATGTCTCTCATAACTGGGAAAGTTAAGCATATTTGCTTTGTTTAACCTGTGACTGTAATGGATAGAAAAGCTAGGAAAAAAAGTGAAATATGGGCATTGAATCACCCTTGATATATTTCTTAAAATAATAAAAATATAAACAATAGAATGTTCTAATAAGATTTTGTAGATTCTTTGATGCAACACTGATTCATGTAAACAACTTAAATTAAACAATACTAAACAAACTTGGACAATTTCCTTAATCTTTTAAGGAAGCTGTAATCATCTACTTAAAATCATTTTAGGGTCTAGATTTAGTTTTCTGTTGACTTATTTTGTGATAAAGGCATACTGACAGGTTAAGTTTTCTTGAGTTCTTTGGAGGAACCCACTACTTTTAAAAAGAGTTAAAAATTGATGTAAATATAAAGTGCAAATATGTTCTTAGTACTACGATGTACTTCAGTTCATTATTTGTATGATATTATACTATTTCATTATTTTTCTAATTTTCTCTACATGTTCATGTTATTGTAGGCCCTCCAGGTCCAAGAGGGCCCAAAGGTGACAGAGGACCCCAAGGTCCAGTTGGACTTACTGGGCCCAAAGGACCAAAAGGAGAAAAAGGTGAACCAGGACCTCCAGGACCTCAAGGTGAAAAAGGACCAAGTGGCCTACCTGGACCACCAGGTGAAAAAGGTGGGAAAGGTTCCAGAGGTTCACCTGGATCTAAAGGCCAGAGAGGTTCTACTGGGAAGAGTGGGCTGCCTGGTCCTAGTGGAGATCCAGGGCTCCCTGGATCACCTGGCAAAGATGGGCCCCCAGGCCCACAGGGCCCACCTGGACCCCAAGGTCTTCAAGGAGTTGTTGGTGAACCAGGAGTACCTGGTGCTCGTGGATTGCCTGGTCTGCCAGGTGTACCTGGACTACGTGGTCTTCCAGGTGAGCCTGGTCCTCCTGGACCATCAGGTCCAGGAATACCTGTGGCGCTACAAAGTGAAACTAACGGTAAGCTGCTAACACACATACTATCTGTCTGCATGCCTCACTGTATATTTATTACCAATGTATAAAAGTGTAGTTTGAAACTCTGTTGACTATTGCATTGGATTGTACTCTGTGTACATATTGCAGTGAAAGTTTGCAGCCTATATTTTTTCAAGCCTCCAACCAGCTTGAAATGAACATCATACTCTTTGAATCCATGGGTCCAGATGACGGTTCTAAGAAGGAACAGAAAAGCAACTCTTCTTTTTCCCCAGAATTCCTCCCATTCTGTTTCAGAGTAGTTACTGCTTGGGTTCAGACAGTTAATCTATCACATCACACAGAGAGGCCTGGGGCCATAAAATCCGTTTCTTTTTTTCTCTCTCTCATTCACCTTCTAAAGCTTCTCTCTGTAATGTGAAGAAGGCGGCAAGGAATTTTAACCCTCGACACAACTAGTATTTTGTACTGTTAAAACATATTAAAAAACATTAGAAGCTCAAGCAGGCCAGTTCCTCCCCATCTTTTCCTTTTTTTCTCCTCCCTCCATTGACACCTATGCTCTGTGATATCTAAAGGTCACTGAGCATCCTGAGTCTTCACTGGAGTTTCTTCCCCCCTTAGTTTTTAATTCACAAAATGATTTCTACGTTTTGTGTACCACATACATATATGCAGGACTGATATTTGTCCCTTGTAATAATGGCAAGCACTGGGAAAACAAAGCTATGTATTATATGGAAAAAATGGACA